GGTCACTCTGGGTCAGAACTGACTCAACAGCACTTAGCAACAACAACAACATATTTGTGGAAAGACACAATAAGAAACTCAGTCAGAACCAGACCATTGTCCAACTGAGGAAAAGACAATCAGTTGCTCATACCTAAGTTGAAGTTGAAGCTAAAAGAAAATTAAAATAAGTCCATGAGAGCCAAGTATAACTTTGAGAATATCCCACCTGAATTTAGAGGTCATCTCAAGAATAGATTTGCAACACTGAACACTTCTGACTGAAGACCAGACAAGCTGCAGAATGACATCAGGAACATCATACATGAAGAAAGCAAAAAGTCATTCAAAAAAAAGGAAAGAAAGAAAAGACCAAAGTGGATGTCAGAAGGGATTCTGAAACTTGTTCTTGAACAGAGTAATGTTCAAGCAAATGGAATAAGTATGAAGTATAAAGGGTTGAACAGAAGAAGAGCCAAACAAAGTGCAGCTCAAGAAAAAAAAGTAAAGCTATAATGCTTTTATAATATGAAATGTGCAAAAACCTGGAGTTTAAAAAAAAAAAAGAGAGGGAAGAGCACTCTTGACATTTTTCAATGAAATGAAGAGAAGAAAAAAAATCCAAGCCTTATATGGCAATACTGAAGGAGTCTATGGGCAAAATACTGAATGACAAAGGAAGCATCAAAAGAAGATGAGTGGAACTCAGAGTCGCTGTACTCAACCATTTAGAAGCATATGAGCAAGAGCCAATAGTATTTAAGGGAGAAGTTTAAGCTGCACTGAAGGCATTAGTTAAAAACAAGGGTACAGGAATTGACAGGTGTTGACTGAGATGTTACAACACGCGGATGCAAGGCAGGAAGTGCTTATTCTTCTATAGCAAGGAAAATAAGCTACCTGGAAGAGATCCATATGTGTGCTCATTCCAAAGAAAAGTGATTTAACAGCATGCGAAAATTATCAAATCAGGTCCATATTACATGCAAGTAATATTTTCTGAAGACAATTCAAACAGTTGCAGCAGTACATTGATAAGAAACTGCCAGAAATTCAAGCTGAATTCAGAAAAGGGCATGGAATGAGACATGCCATTGCTGATAGCAGATGGATCTTGTATGAAAGCAGAAAATACCAGAAAGATGTTTATTTATAATGTTATCCATAGTTTTCTATGATCCACACAATTGAATGAGTATTCCAGAATGCTTAATTGTGCACATAAGGAAGCTATACACAGCTTTTGTTAGAACAGAACAAGAGAATACTTTGTGGTTCAAAATCAAGAAAAGTGTGTGTTAGAGCTGTTTCCTTTCATCATACCTATTCAATATGTATACTGGCAAATAATATGGAAAGCTTGATTATATGAAGAAGAATGTGACATCAGGATTGGAGGAAGACCCATTAACAATCTGCAATATGAAGATAATACAACCTTGCCTGCTGAGACCAAAGAAAATTTGAAGCACTTATTGATGAAGATCCGAGACTGTAGCTTTCAGTATGGATCATACCTCAACATAAAAAAAAAAAAAAATCCTTACAACTGAATCAATAAAAAACATAATGATAAACGAAGAAAAGATTGAAGTTGTCAAGGATTTCATTTTACTTGGATACACAATTAATTTGGAAGAGCAATCAAAAAATCAAACAACATTGAGCAGATCTGCTGCAAGACATCTCTTTAAAGTCACTTTAAATGTCACTTTGAGAACTAAGATGTGCCTGACCAAACCTATGGTATTTTCAATTGTCCTATATGCATGTGAAAACTGGACAATAAATAAGGAAGACCAAAGAATTGATGCCTTTGAATTATGGTATTGAGGAAGAATATTCAATATACCATGGACTACCAGAAGAATGAACAAATCTGTCTCAGAAGAAGTAAAAGCCAGAATGCATATTAAAAGAGAGAATGGTGAGACTTAGTCTTGTGTACTGTGGACATGTTATCAGGACTAGTTCCTGGAGAAGATCGTCCTGCTTAGGAAAGGTAGGTCAGTTAGCAAGAGGAAGATCATCAATCCATCAATGAGATGGACTAACACAGTGGTTATACAATGGACTCACACATAGCAATAATTGTGAGATTAGCACAGGACCAGCCAATGTTTCATTCTGTTGTACATAGGGTCACTATGAGTCCGACTGACTCTTTGGCACCTAACAACACATATACATTTAAAATGTGAATACCATTTGACTTATCACTATAGAAATACCAGGAGTCTATATATCTATACCGCAAGGTTGGCCATTCAAACTCACCAGCCACTCCCTGGAGGACTCAATAGAAATTAACAACAAATAGAAATACCAACACATGAATATAAACATATACACTATAACTATTTCTACAATAGTAAAAAATCAGAAACAACTCAAAGGCAGTATTATGTAGCCAGTAAATTAGGTAGAACTCCCTGAGCAAAGTAGAAAAAAGTAAATTATATTTTATATTTTTAAATGCAAAAAAAGTTACAGAACCACAAAGAAAACAAAGAAACAAAAAACATGTATTTGTAATATGCCAAGAAAAATATCTTGAGAATTTTCGAATGATATACTGGGATTAAGGGGAATTTACAATTATTTAACTTACTTCAATATTCATCACTTATAATTCATGTAACAATGAACAATTCTCTAATTTAAAAAAAGTAAAGAAATAAACATCAAAATGTTCTTAATAGTGTTCTATTTTTTCTAGTATGGAAAATTTTAGAGTAGTTAAACATTTTAGGACAGTAGGTTACTTTATTCACAACTTCCTAATTTTAAAAAGTATAGTTATAATTAAGTCGCCAAACTCTGAACTTTTTATAACTGCAACTATTGTAAAACACATACTAGGTATTCAAGGTCATAAAACATTTGCCAATCAAAAACCAAAACCACAGATTATTGAAACAGCAAATGTTGCAATAACTATAGATTTACCACAATTATAAAAGAAAGAAACAATCCTCAAGAAAAATCAAAATTACAGTAGAAAAACTTTTAATTTTATTTCTATACTGAGGCTTTAAAATAGCATATAGAATCTGTAATCTCCTAATCCTGAAGACTGGTTATTAAAATTTGGGGTGGGGGATGAAGTTACCTATTTCTACTAAATAGTTGTTGTTATGTGCCGTGGAGTCGGTTCCGACTCATAGTGACCCTGTACAGGGTTTCCGAGGCTGTAAATCTTTACAGGAGCAGAAAGCCTCATCTTTCTCCCGTGAAACAGCTGGTAGTTTCGAACTGCTGTCCATGAGATTAACAACCCGATTCGTAATCACTGCACTACCAGAGGTTAGCCCACAAAATAAAAAATGTGACTGCCCTTTTAAAAAAATGATCTATATAAGAACAAATGAACAAAAGTCACTTTAAACACAGATGAAAAATTTAGGGAGCAGTCTGAGGAATAAACTTAATAGGAGTGAAACATCTCAAACAGAACTAATGACAAGGTTGACACAAAGGGATGACTAGAGCCATGTCGTTGAACATAATGTATAGAAATTGTTGAATGGAAGTATGTCTTGCTGTGTATGTTTTCCAAAAATACAGTAAAGTATTAAAATAAAGAAAAGACTCTGGGGGGGTATTGAGCACTTAAAGTCCCTACTTTTAATCTATGGAGGGCTTCCTCAAACTACACAGTCACTCTTCAAAGCCCCTGCCCCAAATCCTTCAGGTAAAGAGATATTTCTAGAAATTGCATAGTCTACGTGATGATGAAAACAGAAATAAGATTGAGACACTATATAGATTAAGAGAATATTAACTAAGATTCTAACAATGATAGGTATGCACGACATCACAAGGCTTGCTTTTGAAAGGAAAATACTGAAACAGCAATCTCAACTGAGGACTTGGCTTTAGGTCCCAGACCCCGTACTAGCTGACTAACAGAACAATTCCTTCACATCAACGAGCTGGAGTGGCTCACTTATAATGGAAAAGAGATGATTTCCTGGTTCCATCCAGATCTATGATCCTACCTTTTCCAAGCTAGAATTATAAGCAGGAGAAATTACACCCTAAAATATTCAGTATTTGAAATAGAAATCTGGCTAGAAAATGAAAGGAGAAAAAAAAAAAGATGTTTAAAATGTATAATTCTCACTGCTCAACCAATAAATAACATCATGATAAAAGGAGAAAAGATTGAAATTGTCAAAGACTTCATTTTGTTTGGATCCACCATCAACACTCATGGAAGCAACAGTTAAGAAATCAGATGACATATTATTGCAGTAGGCAAATATGCCCCACAAGACCTATTTAAAGTGTTCAAGATCAAAGATGTCAGTTTGAGGACCAAGCCATGGTATTTTCATTTGCCTCATATACAAAACAACATATGCATTTGAAAGTTGGACAATGAATAAGGAAGCTGTAGAAGAATTGGTAACATTTGAGTTACAATGTTGGAGAATATTAAAAGTACCATGGACTGCCAGAAGAACAAACAAATCTGTGTTGGGAGAAGTACAATCAGAATGCTCCTTAGAAGCCAAGATGACCAGACTTCGTTTCTCATACTTTGAACATATTATCATGAAGAACTAGTCCCTGAAGAAGGATAGCATGCTTGGCAAAGTAGAAGGCCAGCAAAAAAAAGGGAGAAACCCAACGAGATGGATTGGCATACTGGCTGCGGTAATGAACTCAAGCGTAGCAACGACAGTGAGGCTGGCGCAGGACCAGACAGTGTTTCATTCTGTTGTGCATATGGTCACTATGAATTGGAACCAATAACAACAACTGTAACAACAAACTGTATAATAAATTTATCCTACTGCCTCTAAGTTCTGATTGTAGAACTCTTAATTTTACAACTGGATTGTTAAGTAATGCAAAACAAACACTGACTGAATACCTTTCAAAGATGATTTTATTATCATATTCATTCTTTTGTTCAGTCAATAATTTTGAGCACATACTGTGTCTCACGTATTATCACATTTTAGCTTTTGTCTAGTGTCTCCAACAAAAACCAAAAAATAGGAGAATCTTACCAACGTGGCCTCCTCCAATGGTATAGGTCTTCCCAGATCCAGTCTGTCCATAGGCAAAAACTGTTGCATTATAGCCCTCAATGAGTGATAACACCAGTGGCTTTATACACATATTATAAACTTCATCTTGAGTGGAACTTTTGCCAAAAACATAATCAAAAGTAAAGACTCTGTCTCTTCCAATGATTATTTGCTGGGTGTTTGGAATAATTCTCACACACACTTGATGATTATGAAGAACTTCTTTGCAGAGAAGAGGTCTAATTCTTACAGCAACTTTTACTGGTACTTCTTCCATGGCAGCTTAGATTTTATTGATTAGATTTTCTACTTAATAGTCAGTATCTAGTGTGAGAAACATCCATTTTATGGAACATCTGGACTCCTGTGTACCAAAATAGAAACAAATGTTAATTATTGACCCCCTAGAAAAATCCAAGCTCATTTCTGAGCAGAAACTGGCAAAGTGACCCTAAAACTCACACAGAAATTCAAGGGACATGAAATAGCCAAAATAATACTGAAAAAGAAGAGCAAAGTTTTATAACTCACAAGTCCCTGATTTCAAAATTTACTATCAAGCAACAGTATTCAAGACAGTGTAGTACTGGCATAAAGACAGACAGACAAATCACAATCCAGAGAAATATACCCTCACATTTATGGGCAATTTATTTTTGACAAGACAATCCCATGGGGGAGGGGAGAGTCAAATAACACTGAGACAATTGGATCTCCACACTTGAGACACAAAAGAATCAAGTTGGAGCCCTACATCATACTACATATAAAAATGAACCCAATATGAATCACAGACATAAGAACTAAAACTATAAAACTCTTAAAAGAAAACACAAGAGTTAATGCTTCATGACCTTGGATTAGGCAATGATTTCTTATGTATGTTACTAAAAGTACATGATAGATCAATTAGACTTCATCAAAATTTAAGAACTTATGCTTCAAAGAACACAACTTTGTGAAAAGATAACTCATTAAGTGGGATAAAATATCTGCAACCAAATTATCTGATAAAGGACTTTGTCTGGAACACATGAAGAACTATTACAAGACAGTAATAAAACACAACCCAATTTAAAAACAGTCAAAAGGACCTGAACAGACATTTCTTCAGTGACCAATAAACCCATGAAAGGATATTTACCATTATTAGCATCAAGAAAATGCAAATCAAAATAAATAAATATCACTTCATACCTACTAGCAGAGCTAGAATTAAACAGATGAATAATAACAAAATGTTCACGATCATTAGCTAGCAGGGAAATGCAACTCAAAACCATAGATAACTCCTGTTTCACACTGCCCTCCATTGAGCCTCACCTCATGGCAACCTCATGCACAACGAGCAAAACATTGCCCAGTCCTACACCGCCCCACCCCCGCCCCAGGAGCTCTGGTAGTATAGTGGTTATGAATCAGGCTGCTAATCTCACGGTCAGCAGTTCAAAACTACCAGCTGTTGCGCGGGAGAACAATGAGGCTTTCTGCTCCCATAAAGATTTACAGCCTTGGAAACCCTGTACAGGGTCGCTATGAATCGGAACCAACCTCCATTGCACATAACAACAACAACAACACCCCTAGGACAACCTGAGGATCAGACAATGCTCCGTTGTAATCCATAGGGTTTTCATATATGTCGGGAAACTCCCATTCCAATAAAACTTGTTTACCATCATAGGAACATGCAGGCCTCCACTGAAATATGAGTGGTGACTATGTACGAGAGTCACTGACTAAGAGTCTCCTACCTACTGTTTTGACTCATAGCTACCATGCATAGGGTTTCCAAGGAGAGACTGGTTGGTTTAAACCACTGACCTTGCAGTTAGCAGTCTAGTTCTCATCCTACAGCGCCACACCAGGATTCCACTGCTACCACTGAACCATCAATGCCTCATTTCATACTCACCAAGGAGCTCTGGTAGCGTAGTGGTTACGAATCGGGCTGTGAATCACAAGGTTAGCAGTTCGAAACTACCAGCTGCTCCGAGGGAGAAAGATGAGGCTTTCTGCTCCCGTAAAGATTTACAACCTTGGAAACCCTGTTCAGGGTCGCTACTGGTCAGAACCGACTCAATGACACTTAACAACAACAACAACAACAATGACAGCTATGGAGTCCTGGTGTGGTTCTGTGAAATAAAGCACTGGGCTGCAAAGATGGCTTGAACTACAAGGCTCTCCTTGGAAATCCTATACAACAGGGGTGGGGAACCTTTTTTCCTGTTAAAATTTATAACATTATCCATAGGCCACACAAAATTATCAACTTAAAAATTAGGTTGATATATTTGGTCAAACAATTAACTCACCCCTAATGTGGAGTCCTGGTGTGGTACTGTGGACTAATGCGCTGGACTGCAAAGTCAGTTTGAACCACAAGGTCAGCAGTTCAAGCTTACCAGCTGCTCCTCGGAAACGCTATACAGGGTTGCTACGGATTGGAACCAACTCCATGGCATTTAACAACAACAATGTGATGGCTGGAAATGTAGTTGCCTTCGTGGTCCTTATATGGCCCACAGGCTGGACATTCCCTACCCCTGCTATACAGGTTCACTGAGTCGGAATACACTCAATGACACGTAACAACAACAGGACAGCTATGGAGTCCCTAGTGGTGCAAATGGCTAACAAGCTCACTGTTAACAAAGAGTGGCGGTTTGAATTCATCCAGAGAAACCCTGAGATAAAGACCTGGCACTCTACTTCCAAAAACTCAGGGACTGAACACTCTGTGGAGCACAGTCCTACTCTGACACACACACTTTGGGTCACCATGAGTTAAACTTCAGTCCACTGAAACAAATTAGTTGTTGTTGTTGTTGTTGTTTGTTACGTGCTGTTGAGTTTGTTCTGATTCATAATGACCCTGTATAGGGTTTCCCAGGAGCAGCTAGTGGGTTTGAACTTACAACCTTGCAGTTAGCAGCCCAGGGCTTATCCCACAGCACTACACCAGGACTCCATTTTAAGCACTACTTACTATGAAAATACTAACAACATACAAGGGGGCTTTGAAAAGTTTGTAGAAAAATGGAATTAAAAGGTAATGATACTGTTCCACGAACTTTTTGAAGTCCTCTTGTATTTACAAGTCCTGGTGTGGCTTTGTTGGTTAACGTGCTAGACTGCAAAGTCAATTTGAATCACAAGGTCGGTGGTTCAAGCTCACCAGTGACTCATGGGAAACCCTATATAGGGATGCTAGCTCTGGTAGCGTAGTGGTTATGAATTGGGCTGCTAATCTCACAGCAGTTCGAAACTACCAGCTGTTCCGCGGGAGAAAGATGAGGCTTTCGGCTCTCGTAAAGATTTACAGCCTTAGAAACCCTGTACAGGATCGCTATGAGTCGGAACCGACTCCAGGGCACATAACAATAACATGTGTTGGAACAGACTCGGCAGCACTTAACAACAACAACATGCCTTTAAAACTTAGCTTCCTAGTGTGGCACCATAGGATAAGCACTTGACCTTAAGGTCTGTTTGAATTGCAAGGTTGGTGCTTCAAACACACCAGTCACTCCTTGGAAACCCTATATAGGGTAGTTATGAATCAGAACCGACTTGAAAGTAATTTAACAACAACAACAACAAATCTTAAAACAGCAGAGCTTCCAGACTAAAATGAACTAAAAACAAGATCTGGTGATCCACTTTCAAAAAGCAGCCAGTGAGAGAAGACTCTGGATCACAATGGATCGGGTTTCCAAGGAGTGACTGTTCAACCTACAATAGGTCATGAGAACTGCACAGTGTTAGGCTCAGCTATACATGAGGTTACAATCAATCCAGGCCTATTCCACAGCACTAACAACAGCAGTATTTTTAAAGATACTCTGCAGCAGTATCGTGCATTTATTGTTCTGTTAAGTGGATAGACTAAAAAGGATCACAATAACAAAAAACATTTACATCACTCTACTAAAAGCCCACTGAGAGTAAAAAAAAATATCAGCTCCCTCGGGCTATAAAATCCCAAAACAGAGTCAACAAACTATCTTTAAGCCAAAACAAAGAGATACACCTAACCTTGGCAATGCTAATCATTCTAATAAAATTCTACACTGAAAAAATAAATATTCACACATATGGTAAAGCCTCCCTTGGAAACTTTTCCAAAGAAACTATAGGAATGCTGTATTCTTCCAAAGGACTGTGAACATTTACATTTGAAGTTTTTATTATAAAGATTTTTTCATTTTCTTATGTTATCATCTTAAAATTAAAGTCATGGTCTAGTTAAGTCAAAACAAATTGCTGCCAGTGAAATTGCTAATAAAAGACACCAAATGCAATTGGGATATTTACACTTTGTTGGTTTTTGTAGTAGAAATAGCTATGGAAAACTTGACCATAAAAGCAATTGAAACCGACCTAATCTAAACATTAAAAAATAATAAGCAGTTCAAAAACAGGACCTGTAAAAAAAAAAAAAAAATCACTGTAATTTTTCAAATCTTAATATTCCAAAGGATTTCTTCAAATTCTGATGAATTACATACAGCATCAGAAGCATATATATTAAAAAATGATCAATGTCAATAAAAAAGGAAAATCTGATTGGCTGAGAATATTTAGGCATGCTTAGTACAGTCTTGGGAGTCCTGGTGTGGCGCTGTGGGTTAATGCGCCAGACTGTAAAGCCATTTGAACTGCAAGGTCGGTGGTTCAAGCTCACCAGCTGCTCCTCGAAAGCCCTATACAGGGTCACTATGGGTCGGAACCGACTCCGTGACACTTCACAACAATAACAACTTGGAGTCCTGGTGTGATGCTATAAGCACTGGACTGCTAACCATAAGGTTGGTGGTTCAAACCCACCAGCCTCTCTTCGGAAACCCTACACGGGTTGCTATGAGTTGAAATAGACTCGAAGGCAGTGAACAACAACAAAGGAAATATGTAGTCATAATGCCATGTGATTGATCAGAAATTAGTGTCTCCAAAATCCATTGCCACCATGTGTTCTTGTTTTTTCAAAAGTAGATTCTCTTAACAATATATCCGTAAGAAACTTCCCAGGGATGGCTAGTGAATTGCATAAGGATTTCAGTTGTAAGTACTGTCCAGACTGTTCCGACTAATAGCGTCTCTGCGAGGGGTTTCCGAGGAGAGGATTTGGCCTTAACGTTAGTTGTTAAAGTTAGTAGTCCAGTGTTTATGCTACAGCGCCACACCAGGACTCCACAGAACTTGATTCACCACACACACAAAAAAAGGAAAGTAGAAAGGAGGAAAAACAACACTCCAAGATTTTTTTAAATTGAGAGGATGGTAAATTTAGTTATTTTAACAGTGTTTCCAAGAAAGAAATGAAAGAACACCCATTCTCTTCCATTATCACCTGCCTGG